TCGGCCTTCCGACGGCCCGAGACGGCCCAAGCGCCCCCAAAGATCGCCGAAAGATCGCCCAAAAGGCCTCCAAGATGGCCCCAGAACGGCCCAAGAGGGCCCCAAGACGGCCCCAAGAGGCCCCAAAGTCGGCACAGGAGGTCTTTAAGACGCCCAAGATGGCCTCCAAGACGGCCCTGGAGCAGTCCAAGAGGGCCCCAAGTCGGCCCATAGAGGCTCCCAAAACTGCATCCGATGGCGTCAGGCGGACCAGGAGCCCACCAAGACGGCCGAACATGGCCCTAAGATGGCCCAAGATGGCCCAAGAGGCCTCCAAGAGGGCCTTCAGGAAGGCCCGAAAAGGCCACAATCATTGATTTCCCATGGGTTTTTGAAGGATTGTGGCATTTGCTGTTTTTCTGCCTTCCGACGGCCCGAGATGGCCCAAGTGCCCCCAAAGATCGCCCAAGAGGCCCAAGACACGGCCCCAAGAGGCCCCCAATACGGCCCAAGAGGTCTCCAAGACGCTCAAGATGGCCTCCAAGACGGTCCAAGAGCCCTCCAAGACGTCCTCCAAGAAGGCCCGAAAGGGTCAAAATGGCCTCCATACGGCCAAGATGACCTTCAAGACGCCCACGTGTTCCTCGAAGGCTTTCCAAACCGATTCGGGGAACACATGGTCCGATGGCTTGGCAGGTCTGGCCTCAACGTTCGGCCACATAGGCGCTTCCACAAAAGGCAGGGGGCGGCGAAGATTCGGCGTAGGCGTCTTCGATATAATAAAAGGAAAGATATGCATACTGACACCTATATATATATATATATATATATATATACATATATATATATATGTATATATATATACATACATGCATATATATGTTGTAGTTGGGGCGTGAGGGCGACATGACCCCAACCGGGAAAGCGGCGTTGGTTTCGGTGCGTGTCGCACGTGCGGGTGAGGCGAAACTGCGCGAGGGCGACGATGTGTCGGCCGAGGCTGGGGCCACGTCGGGGCACAACCGTTCTGCGGTAGTGCGTCGCGATGGGTCGCGGGTTGTCCCGTGGGTTGTCCCGTGGCTTGTCCCGTGGGCTATCGCGTGGGTTGTCCCTTGGCCGTGGTTTGTTTCGTGGGTGGCCCCGTGGGCTGTTCGCGGTGGTCGAGGGGCTTCTCGAAGAACCCCGAGGGTGGGTGGATTGTTACAGTCGGACCTAGGACAAAAGAACATCCTCCAAGAACATGAGACCCTCCGCCGGCAAAAACACACAGAACATCCAAGGGTACCCTCCCCAGGACGCACAAAAACATTCAACACACACGAAGAACACTAGGATACCCTCCCCGAACCGACCTCGATCTTATACCTCGGTCCGACTGTATCCGCTTCACTGCTTCACCTCCCTCCTCCATCCTCCTTCCATTCTCCTCCTCATACAGCTTGTTCGGGGATTCCTGGTCAAGGGCCCGTGTCAACGGTGAGTTCGATCCCGATTGCGACGGCACGTGCCCTGGGATGTCTCAAGGCTCCGGGAGCGGCCCCTCATCGCCGCTGGGCGCGCTGAGAAGATGCTGTCGCGTCAGCGCGCGAAAGCTCTTGCTAGCTAGCTCCGGAAGCGCATGTAAGAGCCGTTGCCGAGCCCCGCGTTTGGTTCCACGGCTGCTGCCTGCCGCTGTCACACGGCTTCCGTTACCAACTTCGGGGGGTGCTAAAGGTGTCCTTGACCCAAGGTGTCCCCAGCTTTTCGCTCCATTACAGTCGGGGCGTTGACCTAAGGAACCCTAAATAAGGAACGAGGCCCCTTTTTTCAGAAGTTAAACTTCGATTTCCGATCGAAAACCTAAGGAAAGCCTGAGGCAAGCTGTGAAACACTTAAGGAACGCGGAGCCCCTCCCCAACGAAGAGGGTTCCTTCTTCAGGGCCCCGACTGTATGGGACCTCTTGGGCTCCCTGGGCGTCGTGAGGCGTGCTCTGGAGGCCCTGGCGGCCGTCTTGGAAATCCTGTGGACACCTTGGGCCAGGGGCACTTCTGGCAACACCCGGCAGCTGGAAGTGAGGGCTGGTGGATCGCATGCCGCAGCTAGCAATGTCCAGGGCGCTTCGGTGCAGGCACGCACCAAGAGTCCAGTGCTGATTCGCTTGGCGATGCCGGCAGTTCGGGCGTTGCTAGAGATGTCCCTGGCCCGAGGTGCCCCTGGGACTTCCAGAAAGGCCCAGATGGCCTCCAAAGCATCCTTCAGGGAGGCCCAGAGGGCCCCAGGGACCCCAATATGGCGCGAAGAGCTGGAGAGACCTTGGGCCGGGGCCACCTGCAGCTGCACCCGAGCGATCGAACACATGCGAGGGATAACACATTCCGCAGGATCGGCCTTGCTGTAGCAGCCATCTCTTCTTCTGGGCCAGCTAGCATCCAAACCTCAATATCGGGGCTTTGCAAAATAAGCAGCAGCCTGTTCTTGCTGCCGACTTGCACGCGTTCGATCCACACCTTGGCAGTTTTGCTACATCGCGGACAAAGATTATGTCACCAGTGGGTTCTATACTGCTCAAAATCAGGCTCCGTCATGTAGAGATGGACACATATTCGGGATTGAGCTCCAGGAAAAAAAAGAAATCTCGGTTCTCTGCACCAGCTCCCAGTTGTCTCCAGCCCCCGTGGACTCCCAAAGGGCCCCTTCGTGGCTCTTGGAAGTGACCATCGTTGCCGATGGAGTGGCCGCGGAGGCAGCCAAGCGCGCGCGCAGATTCCAGAAGCTTTACGACATCAGGTGCCGCCTCAGGAGCGCAGAGACTGACCGGTTCGGCACAAGCTCCTGCATGCCGCCCCCATGCGCGGCCCAGGCCGAGAGGCGGGGAGGAGGAGCCTGGAGGCAGGGCGTCTCCCGTCCCGTCGCTTGGCCCCCTGCTCCACTCGACGATGACGCACTGTGTCGACCCACGCTCTGGATGCCCCACGTAAGGCGTTGCTTCACTTGCTGCGGGTTGCCCCCCCTGCAGACGACGTCCGAATATCAGTGTTTCGACCCGTGTTGTAATGGCAAGTAGTCGATTCTTCCCCTGATGGGGGGGGCGTTTTCACATCGCTGGGAATTGGGTGTCCGAGCATCATGCGACGCATAGAAAGAAGGACCATGAGATGTTGATGTGAGGTTTGTTTTTGTCGCGCGTACGACAGCGCGTGAGCTTCGTATCTTCACTATGCACTCGGAAGTTGGAGAAGCATAAGCACGAACATGCAAACTAGCCTGAATCAGGATTGAGACCAGAGAAGCCCCGCGAGCAGTTCAAACGCGCCATGCAATTTCTCACACCACTGCGGAGGAAGGCTTGTCGATTACGGGCAAAAGCGCGAGATGAGGCAAGGTCCTCCAAGGGGTTACGGGTGCCAATTGTCACATCGACTCCTGATTCCTCTGGGCCCGAGGCTGCCTCTCTTGTAGTTTGCCTCCTCGTCACCCGTAAACGTTGTCTTGTAGATTGCCTCCTCCTCCTCCTCCCTCCTCCTCCTCCTCCTCCTCCTCCTCCTCCTCCTCCTCCTCCTCCTCCTCACCTCACTGCACCACAGCACGGGCGCAGATTGTATCGTTGACTCCTTGCCATTTGGCCCCAAGGCCGCCTCTCTTGTGTATTGTCTCCTCCCCCCGCACCCCTACGGCGTCTCTTGCCTACTGTTTCCTTCTCCTTCCCCTTCTCTTCCTCCTCCTTCCCCTCCTCCTCCTCCTCCTCCTCCTCCTCCTCCCTCCTCCTCCTGCTCCTGCTCCTGCTCCTACTCCTCCTCCTCCTCCTCCTCCTCCTCCTCCTCCTCCTCCTCCTCCTCCTCCTCCTCCTCCTCCTCCTCCTCTGCCTCCTCATCCTCCTCCTCCTGTGGAACCCCAGAGGCCTGGACAACTTCCCCCAGGGCCGGCTTGGCAACGGGAGTCGTCCGGTGACGGCCCCCACGGCCCTGCGAGGGCCCCTGAAGACCGAGGGTGGTCAGAACTCGTCTGGGGTTTTTCGCGACGAAGGGGGGAACGAAAAAATACATAAACATAAAAACTCAGAGGTCCGCGCGGATGTCTTGGATCCGCGCTCGACCCCCCTCCCTGGCGCGCGGAGCGCGCCAGCGCGCCAGGGGCGGCGCCGGAGGCGCCGCCAGGGGGCCCCAGCGCCTATCCGAGAAATCCGCGCGTACCTCCGAGATTTTTGTGTTATGGCATTGGTCGTTCCCCTATTTGAGGCAGCAGGGCTGCGGGGGGAGAAAATCAGACTAGAGGGGGGGCGAAGGCAAATCCGATCCAATTCTATCCCCGAACCCCTCCCAGGGTCGAAACTGACTCGTTTCTTGAGCCGCGTCCAGCCATCGGTGCGACGAGGGGGCCCCTTTCCCCCCCTGGTCTGCTGGCTGGAACCAATGCTGGGCCACCTCAGCCCCCCAGCCGGCTCCGAGTCTGGCTCCGCCTCACCCCACATACCCCGGCTGCGGTAGCTTATAGGAGCCTCCCATACTATCTTGTTGGCTCTTGCGACCGACACTAATCGACGCTAGTCAACGCTACATCGACGCTCATCGACGCTCAATCGGCCGAATCTCGTCGCCTACAAGACGCGTATCGACGCTAACGCACTCGAATCACTGAATTACGAGGGCACACCAGGCTCCTACGCGTCAAGGTTCAAGGATGAGGCAAACAGAAACGCTAGACGATGATTTGGTGCTTCTGGCGGAGGCGCCGCGGCGCCGGGCCCAAACCCGTCGCCCTCGTCAGGTGGGCCACGGCGGCAAACGGGAATACGACCTGGGCAGACGGAGACACCTACAAGTGCATCTGTCGGGGATGGACAGAACCCCCATTAGTAAAACGTGGTTTAGTGAAAACGACCTCGGGACCAAACCTGACGGGCGCAAGCCTGGAAAATGACGGCCGCGGCGCCCTCTCGAGAACCGAAAACGGACATTTCACTAATCGACGTGTCAGGGTGGGGGTTCTGTCCACCCCCGAATCTGGCCTTGCTGCCGCGAGACCCCGTCTGCAAGGCACGGGCCTCGCCATCCGTCAGCATGCCTCCGGCCTTGCTCTGGTGCACCTCGATGGCCAGGCACAGGCCGAGAGCGCCGCGCAGGCCGCCCCAGCACATGACGACGGCCTCGGCCTGCCAACGGAGGCGGATCGAGGGCCGCGGGCCGCGGAGGAGGAGGAGGATCGAGGACGAGGAGGAACCCATCCCTCCTCTCGGCGACACGCAGGAGTGACCCTAGACAAGAGTGGCCTCTGGTGCGCAGCTTTTCGGGGAGCCGCGGGGGGGGGCTTAAACCCCAGCGCGTCAGACGCTACTATCGCATCTCGTTCGGCGATCGGGGGGCCAACAGTGGGCCCGCACCAACGGTCACTCCGGCGAAGGGTCGCTCCTACGTGCAGTCGAGATCGAGGGTCGCGGGTCGAGGAGGAGGAGGAGGAGGAGGATCGAGGGCGAGGAGGAGCCCATCCCTCCTCTCAGGGGCAACGACAGGGAGGACTGGCCTAATGGGGGACACACCGACCTGGAATCGTCGACACGTCGCCGATAGATCGGCCATAGGCCCCCGATAGTGAAACCGCACCTTCCTGGGCCGGCTGGGGCTATCGGGCCCCTATCGGCGATCAGAGGGCGATTGGGGGTCGATGCATCCCCCTATGTAAAGGGGCCCAGGGACACACAAATGAATACACACAAATCCCAGGATTCCCCATATTTTCCTATATTCTCTGGGTTTTCGTCTCCCCCCCCCTTCCCATATTTTCAAATATTTTCTGGGGAGTCGATGATTAATTGTGTCCGTGTGTTTTTCCCCTCCTGAGATTGGGGGTCGATGCATCCTCCCCCATGCCCTATCCCCCCCTATCGCTGACCCTAAGGATCGAGGGTCGTGGGCCGAGGGGGAGGATCGAGGACGAGGAGGAGCCCATCCCTCCTCTCTGGACGCCCGACATGGCTACGAAGAAAGCGGGTACGATGACCAACAGCACATGCTGTCCAAGACCGACAGCGGCCGCTGTTGGAAAGGCGGCCTTCTGTCTCAGGTTGATCAACACCCCCTCAGGGCCGACCGGCCCTGGCCCTCAGGGGGGGGGCTGCGTTCTCACGAACTTTCAAGTCACCAGATGTCAGGTGTCAGGAGGACGAGTGAAAACAAACAAGCTCCCTCCTCATAGGCCCCTAAGACGGAGTCATTTCCACTGAGGGAAGGGCCCCGTTGTGAGACAACCGTTTGAAAATCCTGAACCGTGCCAGAGCAACAGCCTTGGGACTTCAACGCCACGTCTTGAGGATCCTGAATCCTGCCAGAAAGCCACTCTTGGGACATCAACCCCGCGAATCAACGTAACAGTTACGCCCTGACCATCCTACATCGCTACAGAGCACCATTCCTGGTACCCGAACCATGAAAATCAGAGAACATCATCCTGAGCGGCGCGGCGCTAAGGCGAGAGCCATATTTTGAAAAGCAGCCGCCCTCTGCACGTGAAGCTGTGGCAAGCTGTTGAAACAAATATGCGCGTCGATGGGGCGAGAGCCATATTTTAAAAACGACCCGCCCTCAATCCGTCAAACTCTTGCAATGTGTTAGAACGAATGCGCGCGTAAAACGACTGCGCGCGGCACTAAGGCGAGAGCCAGGGCCGCTCCCCCGACCAGCCTCGGAGTGCGACATGTAGGAACTGTTCACAAGAAAAGAAATGAAGGACGAGGAGCAGGGGGAGGGCAAAGAAAGCGGCGCCAGTCCATCAAGGTGCTCGGCTTGCACCGAGGGGCCTCCGTCGAGACGTAGTAGGCGCCACTCCGCCCCGAGTCCACAGACCTCGACGTGTCCTATGTTTTCGCGGCGTGGAAGCCCAGAGGTCTGAAACCCCTCCCTGGGACTGGCGTCTCGACCCGAGCAGTTTGGCCGGCGGCTCGGGGGCCCCTGTGCGGCGCACTGGCCGCCCAAGAGGCTTCCAAGAGGGCCTCCAGGAAGGGCAGAAAAGGGCCAAAAACCGTTATTTTCCTGCGGTTTTTGAGGGATTTTGACATGTGCTTCTTTTCGGCCTTCCGACGGCCCGAGACGGCCCAGAAGCCCCCAAAGATCGCCCAAAGATCGCCCAAGAGGCCTCCAAGGATGGCCCCAGACCGGCCCAAGAGGCCCCCAAGACGGCCCCAAGAGGCCCCCAAGACGGCCCAGGAGGCCTCTGAGACGCCCAAGATGGCCTCCAAGACGGCCCTGGAGCATTCCAAGAGGGCCCCAAGTCGGCCCAGAGAGGCCCCCCAAACGGGTTCCGATGGCGTCAGACGGGCCAGAAGCCCACCAAGACGGCCGAAGATGGCCCTAAGATGGCCCAAGACGGCCCAAGAGGCCTCCAAGAGGGTCTCCAGGAAGGCCCGAAAAGGCCAAATTCATTGATTTCCCATGAGTTTTTGAAGGATTGTAGCATTTGCTTTTTGTTCGGCCTTCCGACGGCCCGAGACGGCCCAAGTGCCCCCAAAAATCGCCCAAGAGGTCCAAGACGGCCCCAAGAGGCCCCCAAGACGACCCGAGAGGCCTCCAAGACGCTCAAGATGGTCTCCAAGACGGCCCAAGAGCCCTCCAAGACGTCCTTCGAGAAGGCCCGAAAGGCCCACGATGGCTTCCAAGTCCGCCTAAGATGGTCCAAGATGGCTTCCAAGACGGTCCAAGAGGGTCCAAAATGCCTCCAAGATGGCCCAAGAGCTCTCCTAGAGGTCCTCCACGAGGGCCCGCAGAGGCCAGCTTCATTGGTTACCCAAAGGTTTCTGAAGGAGTTTGACATTTGCTTCTTTTCGGCCTTCCGACAGCCCAAGACGGCCCAAGAGGTCCCCGAGATCGCCCCAAGATCGCCCAAGAGGCCTCCAAAATGGTCCCATGACGGCCCAAGAGGCCTCCAAGACGACTCGAAGAGGCCCGCAAGACGGCCCAAGAGGCCTCCAAGACGCCCAAGGTGGCCTCCAAGACGGCTAAGATGGCCTCCAAGATGCCTCCAAGAAGGCCAAGATGACCTCCAAGACGGCCAAGATGGCCGCTAAGACGGGCAAGCTGGCCCAAGATGGGCCCGAGAGGCTTAGGAGCCCAAGAGGTCCTCCAGGAAGGCCTGAAGCCCCCAGATAATCCCAGTATGACCTCCAAGACGGTCCCAAGATGCCTCCAAAACCAAAAAGATGGCCCAATAGAGCTCAAGAGTGCCTCAAGAGGCTCTCAAAAGGCCTCCTCCTCCCTCTCCGTTTTCCTCCCCCTCCTCCTCTTCCTCCTCCCCCACGTGTTCCCCGAAGGCTTTCCAAACTGACTCGGGGAACATATGGTCCGATAGCTTGGCCAAGCTCTAACCCAACGTTCTGCCACATCGGCGTTTCCAGAGAGGCAGGGGGCGGCGGTGATTCGCCGTAGGCGTCTTCAATACGGTGAAGGCATTGTATAAGGAACCACTGGCTAAGTATTCCAAGGTTTGGGAGCCCGCGGAACTCCAATCGTGGAGTGGCCATGGGTATTATCACCGCCCTCGTCAGAGAAGGAATTCTGCAGGGTCTGCAGCCTCCTGGGCGCATTCCTTAACCAACGCACCCACCGTAGCGGTGGCATGATGTTCTGCCTCTTCTCCAGCCTCGAGCTGCTCGGTGGGCCGTTCTGGGATAATCGTCGGCCTGCCTTCGTGCGCTCCTCGGCTCCCCTGCGGCCTCTTCAGGGTCGGCGGAACCAACCGAGAAGGACTCCCGAGCATCTGTCGCCACACCCCCGACTCGAACTGCAACTGGTATTAGGACGGCCATGTCCAACTAAAGGCGGCTATAGGAGGAACTAGTTTAAAACAGTCCGTCAGCACACAATCAAAAACGGTCAAACGAGCACGACACATCGCCACAAGAGCACGAAACTTACCAGACGAGCTCGAATCTGAAAAATGTCAAAATACCAAACAACAATTGCCAAAGAACACTATTCTTGAACATTCCTCCTGTAGAGGGCCATGCCCGACTTACAAAACTGGTGGGCTCCGCAGGAACAAGCAGGGCGTCGTGCTGCCGCTCCCCACGAAGGTCTCAGGGCAGAGGGCGGCTCGCCGTCGTGAGGTCCTCCGCTTCGTCTGAGCCGAGGTAGTTGAGGACGGGCATGGAGAAGTACAAGATCAGCATGCGCACCTCAGGAGCACACCCTCCTCTTCCTCCTCCTGCTTCTCCTCCTCCTCCTCCTCCTCCTCCTCCTCTCCTCCTTCTCCGCCTCCTCCTTCTCCTCCTCCAACTCCTCATCCTGCTCCTCCTCCTCCGACTGGAGCCTGTATAAAGGCCTGGACGGTTTCACTGTTTTTTGATAACCACTATTCTCAGTTTTTAACACATATTCCAAAGAAATCACAGAAGTCAATTCAAACCACCAGAAACATACAAGTTGATAAAAGCTACAAGCAAGGTTTCGCCTGAGACATTTGTCAAAAAGTAATGCTGAAAGGCTGCTTCCTAAGGATGTCTCAAGCGAAACCTTGATTATTGGAGAATCCTTTGGATTTTCATTTCTTCGGGAATCCGACGGCCCGAGAATGTCTCAAGCGAAACCTTGATTTTCAATAAGGTTAAAGTCAAAAACCAAGGTTTCGCCTGAGACATCTGTCAAAAAGTGATGGTGGAAATCTACTTTTCTGAGGATGCCTCAAGCGAAACCTTGATCATTGGAGAATCCTTTGGATTTTCATTTTTGGGGAAATCCGACGGCCCGAGAAAGTCCGGCGAAAACAAAAAAATCCGGTAGATTTTCAAAAAAATCAAGATTTCGCTTGAGACACCCTCCAAACTTTCACTTTTCCCCTATTGGTTTTTGCCCGATGTCTCACGCGAAACCTTGATTTTCAATAAGGTTAAAGTCAAAAACCAAGATTTCGCTCGAGACATCTGCCAAAAAGTGATGGTGGAAGGCTACTTTTCTGAGGATGTCTCAAGCGAAACCTTGATTATTGGAGAATCCTTTGGATTTTCATTTTTGGGGAAATCCGACGGCCCGAGAAAGTCCGGCGAAAACAAAAAAAAATCCGGTAGATTTTCGAAAAAGACAGGGTTTCGCTTGAGACACCCTCCAAACTTTCACTTTTCCCCTATTGGTTTTTGCCCGATGTCTCAAGCGAAACCTTGAGATTTTCAATAAGGTTAAAGTCAAAAATTAAGGTTTCGCCTGAGACATCTGTCAAAAAGTGGTGGTGGAAGGCTACTTTTCTGAGGATGTCTCAAGCGAAACCTTGATTATTGCAAAATCCTTTGGATTTCCATTTTTTGGGAAATCCGACGGCCCGAGAAAGTGCGGCGAAAAAAAAAATCCGGTGGATTTTCAAAAAATCTGGGTTTCGCTTGAGACACCCCCCAAACTTTCACTTTTCCCCTATTGGTTTTTGCCCGATGTCTCAGGCGAAACCTTGATTTTTAGATATAACCTTATTGAAAATCAAGGTTTCGCTTGAGACATCGGGCAAAAACCAATAGGGGAAAAGTGAAAGTTTGGAGGGTGTCTCAAGCGAAATCCTGATTTTTTTGAAAATCTACCGGATTTTTTTTTGTTTTCGCCGGACTTTCTCGGGCCGTCGGATTTCCCCAAAAATGAAAATCCAAAGGATTCTCCAATGATCAAGGTTTCGCTTGAGACATCCTCAGAAAAGTAGCCTTCCACCATCAATTTTTGACAGATGTCTCAGGCGAAACCTTAATTTTTGACTTTAACCTTATTGAAAATCTCAAGGTTTCGCTTGAGACATCGGGCAAAAAACCAATAGGGGAAAAGTGAAAGTTTGGAGGGTGTCTCAAGCGAAACCTTGATTTTTTGAAAATCCACCGGATTTTTTTGTTTGTTCGCCAGACTTTCTCGGGCCGTCGGATTTCCCGAAAAACTGAAAATCCAAAGGATTCTCCAATAATCAAGGTTTCGCTTGAGACATCCTCAGAAAAGTAGCCTTCCACCATCACTTTTTGGCAGATGTCTCAGGCGAAACCTTGGTTTTTGACTTTACCTTATTGAAAATCAAGGTTTCGCTTGAGACATCGGGCAAAAAACCAATAGGGGAAAAGTGAAAGTTAGTTTGGAGGGTGTCTCAAGCGAAACCCTGATTTTTTGAAAATCCACCGGATTTTTTTTTTTCCCCGCCGGACTTTCTCGGGCCGTCGGATTTCCCCAAAAATGAAAATCCAAAGGATTCTCCAATCATCAAGGTTTCGCTTGAGACATCCTCAGACAATCAGGCGCATGCTGATGCCGATGATGAGGACCATGCTGATGAGTATGATGATGCTGATGATGATTACGCTCATTTTGACGATGGTGATGATGATGCTGCTGATGATGATCCTGAAGACGCTTATGATGATGACAGCGATGCCTATCATAATGATGGTGGTGATGATGGTGGTGGTGATGATGGTCATAATGATGGTGAAGGTGGTGATGGTGATGATCATGATGATGATGAGGATGATGGTGATGATGATTGTGATGATGATGATGCTGCTGATGATGATCATGATGCAAATGATCATGATTATGATGATGATGCTAAAGATGATGGTGCTGGGGATGCTGATAATGATGATGATGGTGGTGACGCTGCTGATGATGAGGATGATGTTGATGGTGATGGTGGGGGTGATGGTGATGAGGATGAGGATGATGACGATGGTGATGATGATTGTGATGATGATGATTATTTTGCTGATGACGACGTGATGATGATGATGATGATGCTGATGATGATGACGATAATGATGATGCTGATGCTCATGATGATGGTGATTATGGTGGTGACGGTGCTGATGATAATGAAGATGCTTCTGATGATGATAAATATGATGCTGATGACGACGATGATGATGCTTACAATGCTAATGATCATGGTGATCATGATGATTTTGATAATTTGGATGCTGATGCTGCTTATGATGATGCAGGTCATGTTGATGATGATGATGATGGTGATGATAATAATGATGATAGTGATCACGTTGATGCTGATGCTGATGATGATGGCGATGCCGATGATGATGATCATGCTGATGATGATGATGATGATGATGAGGCTGATGATGTTTATGATGTGTATGATGATGATGACGATGGTGATGATGATGATGATGCTACTGATGATGATCATGAAGACGCTCATGATGATGATAGCGATGCCTATGATGCTAATGATTGTGCTGGTGATAATGATGGTGATGATGATGATGGTTATGGTGATGGCGATGATGATGATGGTGATGATGATGAGGGTGTTTGTGGTGATGATGATGATGGTGATGATGATGCTGATGATGATGCTGCTGATGATGATGCTAATGATGATGATGCTGATGGTGCTGATGATGACGCTAATGATGATGGTGCTGATGATGCTGATGATGATGCTGGTGGTGATGCTGCTGATGATGATGATGATGTTGATGGTGATGGTGGGGGTGATGATGATGGTGATGAGGATGATGACGATGATGATGATGATGATTTTGAGAATGATGATGATTTTTCTGATAACGACGATGACGCTGGTGATGCTACTGATGATGACGATAATGATGATGCTGATGGCCATGATGATGATGCTGTTGATGATGATGCTAATGATAATGATGATGAGGATGATGATGATTATGATGCTGATCACGGCGGTGATGGTGCGAATGATGCTGATGATGATGATGATGCTGATTGTGATGGTTATGATGATGATGATTATGCTAACTTGGATGTTGATGCTGTTGGTTATGATGCAGGATGATGATGGTGGTGGTGATAATGATGCCGATGCTGATCACGTTGATGATGATCATGATGATGCTTATGCTGCTGATGATGATGGTGATGCCGATGAGAATGATCATGCTGATGATGGTGGTGCTGATGATGATGACGACGATGGTGATGACGATGATGATGATGATGCTACTGATGATGATCATGCAGGCGCTTATGATGATAGCGATGCCGATGATGATGGTGATGATGATGGTGATGATGATGATGATGGCGATGCTGATGATGATGCTGATGACGATGGTGGTAATCATGATGTCGATGGTGGTGATGATGATGGTGATAATGATTATGCTGATGCTGATGACGATTTTCATTATGACTGTGCTGATGATGCTGATGATGTTGATGGTGATGGTGGGGGTCATGGCGATGGTGATGGTGATGAGGATGATGACGATGATGATGACGATTGTGTGAGTGATGATTATTTTGCTGATGACGACGATGGTGGTGATTATGATGCGAATGATGATGACGATGATGATGATGCTGAGGGCCATGATGATTGTGGCGGTGGTGGTGACTATAATGATGATACTGATGATTGTGATGGTGATGATGATGATTATGCTGGTGACGCCGATGATGATGATGATGCGAATGGTGATGATGGTGATGATGATGATGGTGATGATGATTATGATGATTTTGATGATGATGCTGCTGATGATGATGCAGACCATGCTGCTGCTGATGATGATGGTGATGATGATAATGACGATGTTGATCACGCTGATGATGATGATCGTGCTGATGATGCTGATGCTGATGATGATAGTGATTATGATGATGACGATGATGATGATGTTTCTGATATTGGTCATGAAGATGCTTATGATGATGACAGCGATGCCGATGATGCTGATAATGATGCTGGTGATGATGACGGTGATGATGATGCCGATGTCGATGACGATAATGAGGATGATGACGATGATGATGATTGTGGTAGTGATGAGTCTGATGATGCTGCTGACGATGATGCTGGCAATAATGACCCTTTTTATGATGATGATTATGATGGTGATGATGGTGGTGTTGATGGTGTTGGTGATGATGGTGTTGCTGATGATGTTGATGATGCTGCTGGTGATGATTATGATGATGATGGCTATGGTGATGGTGATTGTGATGGCGATGTTGGCGGTGATGATGATGATGATGATGATCATCATGATGATCTTGTGCATGATGATGCTGATGGTATTCCTCCTGCTGGTGATGACCATGCTGGTGATGATGATGATGACTACGATGATAGTGATGATCAGCATGATGATTATAAGTATAAGGATGACGATGCCGACGATGACGACGATGATGATGATAATAGTACACGTGATCTCGCTGATGAGTGTGATGAAGATGATGATGACGATGACGGGGAGGATGAGGATGACGATACTGATTATACTGATGATCATGGTAATGATGATGATGATGCTGATGGTACTGATGCTGGTGGTGGTGGTGTCGGTGAAGGAAGGTGATGATGATGATGGTTGTGATACTGATGATGATGATGGTGATGATGAAAAGGATGATAGTGATAATGATGAGGAGGATGAAGATGAGGATCGGGATGATGATGATGATGAGGACGAGAATGCGGATGATGCGGACGCTGATGCTGATGCTGGTGCTGATGTTGTTGCTGCTGATGATGATGCTGGAGATGAGCATGATGCTGATGATGACGGCGATGATGATGCTGATGATGGTGATGACGATAATGTTGATGGTGATGATGATCAGGAGGATGAGGATGAGGATGAGGACGCCGATCAGGATGAGGATGAGGATGCGGATGAGAATAATGATGAGGATAAGAATTATGCTCATGCTGATGCTGATGCTGATGCTGATGCTGCTGCTGACGCTGATGATGGTGATTTCGCTGATGCTGATGATGATGGTGGCGGTCGTGTTGATCGCGGCGGTGGTGGTCATGATGATGGTGATGATGCTGATGGTGATGACGATGATGATGATGATGGTGTTGCTGACGCTGATGCTGATACTGCTGCTGATGCTGATGCTGATGCTGATGCTGATGCTGCTGCTGATGATGCTGATGTTGGCGCTGATGCTGGCGATGATGCTCATGGTGATGCTGCTGATGATGATGCTGGTGATGCTGGTGCTCATGCTGCTGCTGATGCTGATGCTGATAGCCAGGGGAGAAGGAGAATGATGATGCAGATGAGGACCAGGATGAGGATGACGACGACGATGGTGATGATGACTGTGGTGGTGACGACGACGATGATTATGATGTTGATGGTGATGGAGGTGATGGTGATCGCGGCGGTGATGATGATTATGATGACTCTGATGCTGACGATAATGATGGTAGCGGTGATGTTGACAGTGGTGGTGGTGATGGTGAGGAGGAGGATGAATATGAGGATGAAGTTGAGGATGAGGGGGGGGGAGGCGGAGGAGGAGGATGAGGAGGGGGATGGGCATCGTGATGGAGATGAGGATGGGTATGGGGATGGTGGGTGGGAATGTGGGATGGGGTATTGGGGATGGTGGTGATGGTGATGGTGATTGTGATAGTGATGGTGATAGTGATGATGGCGATGGTGATGATGATGCTGGGCATGCTGTTAATGCTGGTCATGGTGATCATACTGATCTTGATAATGGTGACGATGACGATGATGACGATGATGATGATGATGATGATGGTGGTGGTGGTGGTGATGCTGGTGATGACCATGATGTGACGCTGATGATGCTGATGGTGGTTGTGATGGTGATGATGATGATGATGCTGATGACGATGATGGTGATGAGGATGATGGTGATGATGGTGCTGATGCTGATCATGGTGGTGATTATGGTGGTTGCGATGGTGATGCGGCTGTTCATGGTGGTGGTATTAGTGATGACGATACCGATGATGGTGATGATGATTATGATACTGCTGATACTGATGATAAATGATGCTGGTGATGATGATGATGATTACGATGACGATGACGATGCCATGGCGATGGCGACGATGACGATGGCGATGACGAGGATGATCGTGATGATGGTGCTTGTGATGATAATGATGGTGATGGTTGGGGTCGTGATGATGATGCTGATGATGATGATGACGACGATGATGGTGGTGGTGTTGATTATGGTGATTACGGCGTTGATGCTGATGCTTATGGTAATGAAAATTACCCTGGCGACGTACCCAACCCCTGCGCAATGCGGAGCATGAGTAGCCTGGGAGACGTTATACTGAGGTGATAACGTGACATGGGCACCTATAATTCTGCGAGCGGCATTCGTGAGGCTCGCAGCCCTCCAGGGATGGCGAGGTCCACCTCAAATCTGCGTGGTGCCTCACTCCGCTGGACCCGCAAGCAGCCCTCGAAATGGCGACCGTTACGCAAATCGCAGCCCACCAGGGACGGCGAGGTCCAATTTGGTTCCGCGCGTGGCGTCACTGTGCTGGCCCCCCCAGCAGGCCTCGAAAGTAGCGACCGTTTCACAGATCGCAGCCCCCCGCAGGCAAGACAGGAGGCAGGCAGGAGGTAGGAGGGAGGCGGGAGGAGACGCGCGAGCAGTGCTCTATTCAAAACGAATACCCAACCAAGAGGGGTTGGGAATAAAGCAGGAAGCAGGACGCAGGAGGAGGGAGGGAGGCGGGAGGAAAGAAGGTGGAGACCACAGTCCCTTATTCAAAAACGAATACCCAACCAAGGAGGTTTGGGAATGATGATGATGCGGATGATGCTGATGATGTTGGAGATGAGCATGATTATCATTAGCATGAAGATTATATGATGATTAAGATGACGATGAGGATGTTGGTGATGATGGTGATGTTGGCGCTGATGGTGATGCCGATGATAATGCCGATACTGATGAAGATGGTGATGCTGGTGGGGGTGGGGGTGGTGATGATGATGATTATGAAGATGATGCTGATGATGACGCCGATGATGACGATGGTAATGACGATGCTGACGATGATGCTTACGATGCTGATGATGATGGCGATGCTGCTGACGATGATGATGGTGATGGTGATGGTGATGGTGGTGGTGCTGATGATGATGGTGATGATGGTGGCGCTGGTGATGGGGATGATGCTGATGATGTTGATGATGCTGAAGCTGATGATGCTGATGATGATGATGTTGATGCCGATGGTGACAATTGTGATAAGGATGATGACGCTGATGAGGATGCTGCTGATGCTGATGATGATGATGATGATGATGATGATAATGGTGATGGTGATGGTGATGGTGATGATGGTGATGTTGGTGATGATGATGCCGATGCTGATGCTGATGCCAATGCTGATGCTGAAGCTGCTGATGATGATGAGGAGGAGGAGGATGAGGAGGGGGTGGAGGAGGATGAGGAGTAGTATCAAAAAGAAGTAGAAGACGAAACATAATAATCATGAGACGAGGAGGAGGGGGGAGGAGGAGGAGGAAGAGGTGAGGCTGGACGGGGGGCGCATGAGGAGGAGGAGGAGGAGAAGGAGGAGGAGGAGGAGGAGCAACAGCAGCAGCAGCAGCAGCAGAGGAGTAGGAAGGTCGGGAGGGCGGAGGGTGGAGAAGGACGGCGCTCGTTGTTTGAAGCTCTGCCGTCGCACAGCGTATGCCCAAGGAAGGATGAAGGGAAGAGGAGGACGGGTTGGGAGACGATGGGGGAGGAGGAGGAGGCGGAGGAGGAGGAGGAGGAGGAGGAGGTGGAGGAGGAGGGGGAGGAGATGGAGGAGGAGAGGTGGAGAGAGAAGAAGGAAAGGAGAAGGAGGAGAAGGAGAAGAACGGTGGGGTGTGCTGAGTAGGGGGCGGAGGAAGAGGGCCGAGGCGGAGAAACGGAAGGTGGATGAGGATGGCATCGGTGGGGGAGGAGGAGGAGGAGGAGGAGGAGGAGGAGGAGGAGGAGGAGGAGGAGGAGGAGGAGGAGGAGGAGGGCTTGAGGGATCCTGAAGGGAGAGGGGGAGAGAGGGAGGGAGGAGGGGAGGAGGGGAGGAGGGAGCGGTGGGGTGGCAAGGGAAAGGGAGAAGAGCATGGGAAGGCATGGAGAGGTGCACGCACGCCAGCGGGCGGAAGGGGGGGAAGAGATAGATGGAGAATGGGATATGGCGGGGGAATCGACGGCGAAAGGGGTACAGTAAAAGCGCATAGTGAGGATGAGCAGCTTTCCAAGGGTCAACCTTGCATCCTTGCCCCTTCGGCCCGTCCTTGCATCCTTCGGCCCACCCTTGCCCCTTCGGCCCAGCCTTGCCCCGTTCGAAACACGTCAACATGGCTTTCCGAGGCCCTCGCATCCTCACCACGCATCCACAGTTTGCTTTTTGGCAGCACTGCAGGGGAAGCGGAGGCAAACTGCACGTGGAGGTAGAGGGGAACAGGGTGAGGAAGGAGGGATTTGCGGAGCGGAGGCTCGAGGATGGGGCCCCGAAGGGGCGCGCCATGGGAACAGAGAGATGAGGACCATGCTGATGAGTATGCTGATGCCGATGATGGACCATGCTTTCATCCTCCTACTCCTACTCACTCCTCCGCCTCCTCCTCCTCCTCCTCCTCCTCTTCCTCCTCCTCCTCCTCACCCATCCTCCTCTTTCAATCCCTTCTCCGATGAAGAGGGCGAGGAAGGTGAAAGGGGAGGGACGGTGCAGACCCGATGCTGCGATGAAGGGTCTGAGTGCGATGATAACTGCGAGGTTGTCGTTGTCAGCAATGACGGAAATATATCAGCAATATATCAGCAATGATAGGCGATGGTATGTTGCTTAGCGGCACCTGCAGAGGTGTCTACCGACACGCCCAAGCTCAAGGGCCCTCAAAGGATTGAGCCCAAATAGTTACGAAAGGGCATGTTACCTTCCGTCTGAATATTAGCACATTATGCTTGCTTGCTGGCACGCTATGCTACACTGCTTACAGATCAGCACTGACACTATTTATTTCACACTCGTGCAAAACTCTTCTGATCTGTGCATCTACCGATATAGCGCATTTAGGCGTGGTAATGGCACGTCAACGAGCTAAAATGAGACCAGGCGCACCGCGCGCTTGAAAAGTGAGCCGGCACTGGTCAGGTGTGCCTCATGCTCTCTGGCCTGGTCAGTCGGCTCTTGATGCTGCAAAGCGAGGCGTGTGTCTCGCAGCACTGCCCTGATGGCACTGCCGTCCGATCGCTTGGTGAACTAGCTGTTGATCAGTCGGAGCCCAAACGGGAGGTAGCTGGCTGCGCTGATCGTCAGCGACGAACTCGTTTCTAATTTCCTCTTCTAGTGACTCCTTGAGGCCCACTAGGTCGAGCAAAAGGCGCCGCTCTGACGGGAGCTTGGAATAACCGTCTCTGTGCATCGTATCGCACAAGCTGGCGCAATCTGTGACCTGAGCGAGCGGCGACAGACTCGGCGGGATGTCCTCTGGATGGGCATCCGGAATCTCTAGCGAAGCGAAAACGCAGCGTGTAATCTGAGCACAGCCTAGAGCGTCTACTGCCGACATCGTCTCGGCTGCCAACGTAGATCTGCAAACTCTCTTGATGGTGCCCGATCTCCAATCAACGATCCCTGCTCGAGCTCGATCTCCGCGTAGTAGCTTGGCTTCTGCGAGAAAAGTCACGTAGCCGGCCTGCGAGCGAATCTTGATCTCCTTGTCCTTACTGGTTGCTCCCACAGTCTTCGCGAGCAACTTGGAGATGGCGCCTTCAGCTGGCTCATCAGCGTTGGCCCAACTGGCGTCGTGGAACGTCACCAGGCACAGAGGTCCACGTAACTTAGGGAACTCCAAACCCACGCCCGCGTGCTTCCGCGCCAGCTTGATGAGCCTGTTCGTCTCGAGCAAGTCCTGGATGGTGGGCTTGTTCTGGGTTCGCTGCCCCATGGCCACTCCAGCTGCCAGGTCGGGACGAGTCTGCGATGAAAGCCACCCGAACGCTCCGAGTGCGGAGCGGTTGTCCGAGAACTCAGCTGGCGTAGCATCTGACGACAGTTCCGTCTTGCGCTCCTTGCTGAGCGGAATCTCCTCGATGGTGTTCGCGTACTCGGTCTGCCGTAGATGTAGCACTCCTTCTTGATCTCGCCAGGCCTGCTTGCCGCAAAAGGTAAAAGGCAAGCCTCGCCAGTCGCCCCAGGGCAACAGCTTGTGAAGCCCGTCGTAGAGGCCTGGGTACTTGCGCGAGATCCCCAGCAGCAAGTCGTCCACGTGGGCGACCACCACCGCACAGAGCTCCCCGTGCTGGTCGTAGCCGTAGTACAGCGCTGGGTCCAGCGAGTGCTGGTGTAGGCGAAACGCGTAGTTGTCGCTCAGCTTCTCCTTCACCGCGAGCAAAGTCCTCTTGAGCTTCGCCCACCACTGTCTCGGTGCCGTCGCCAGCCCGAAAACTCCCTTCAGGATTTTGATCAGCTGCTTCGGGTTAAGCCCAGGCAGACCTTCGCGAGGCTGGGCCATGTACAGCTGCTGGTCGGGCTGCTCGTCGCCCTGCATGAAAGCCGCCTCCACGTCCGCCGCGTAGATTTCCAGGTCGAACCTCTGGCAGATGGTGAAGAACAGCATGGTCGAGTTGCGGGTGACCGTGGGCGCGTCCGTCCGAAGGTCGCCCTGAGCGAGGCGCGGGCCCATGTGACCCCCGAAGCAGAGTCGGGCCTTCGCCTTGACCGGCAGCGGATGCTTGTCGGTCCGCAGCGGGGCGTTCTTGTCCCGGTACACGAACCGGCTGGGCAGGATGAGGCTGGGCTTGATCATGCCCCTGATCGCCTCGGACTCCTCGATGGAGAGTACCTGACAAGAGCCATACTTCTGCCACTCGCTCCACTGCTTGGCGGCCGCCTCCCTGAAGAGCTCCCGATCGGAGTCCTTGATGGCCCTCCAGTGGATGTCCTTGTCGGCCTGCTTGCGCTTGATCCTCTCGGTCACGATGGAAGTTTGCAGTGCTTGTCTTGGAGCCGACCTCGAACGTTGGCGGGCTCCTTCTGCTTCGGGTCCGGCTGCTGCCTCTTGATCGGGCGCCGCCGCGCGGTCGCGCGAAGTTGCCTGCGTGCTCCCTCTCGGTCTGGAGGCGCTTGAAGGCCGGGCCGAAGTCGCCGCTGTCCCCTCCGTCGAAGGTAGCTCGACGTCGTCGGAACTCGTCAGGGCCGTAGGTTCGCTCTTCTTCAGCTTGCTGCGGCACGTCGGCGGGCAGCACCTGGATCTGCTCCTGCTGGGGCGGATCCTCGGAGACGTTCAACCTGAGGTCGCTGTCGTCCGGGTTGTCGATAAATTCCCGCCACGCCTGCTCCATCTCGTCTGGCTTGACCTCGGGCTCGCCAGGCGCCGGGCGGATGTCCTCCACCGGAGCCTCTTCCTGTTCGAGCGAGTCGCGAGCCCGGTTGAGCTCGGCCACGGCCTGACCGATCTCGTCCCTGCCGTTCGGGAACCAGACGTCGTCCTGAGCGAGTGCCTTGATGTGCTCCGGGGCCACCAGCATGGTGCGCCCTCCTAGCGAGACCCAGGCGTTCTCGCCTTGGTGGCCGATGACTACGCACGGCCCCCGCCAGATGCCCTTCTTGGCGTTGCGGTTGTGCTGCTCCCGCTGCTCCTTCTTCTTGACCTGGCGGAAGACGTAGCACATCTCGCCCACTGACAAGGGCGTCGCCACCGTGCGCGCGCGAGCCAACATAGCTCGCCGGAGCTGGTCGTCGTTCTGCATCCTCATGAACGACTCGCGCGCCGCCGTCCGAATAGCATATCGTCGGCGAATATTCTCGTCGTTGGCCGCGAGGCTGTGGGCGCTGTAGTTGGCCGTATCGTCCACTAGGTATCCGGGCATCTTGGGGTCGCGTCCCAGCACCCACTGCGCGGGGATGAAGCCTGCTCGCCTTCTCAGCGAGTTCTTCGCGCCCGAGACCCTGATGGCCAGCGTCCGCATCTCGTCCTCGCCCCTGATCGACGAGTGCTCGATCGTCCTCGCCGCGAGCTCCTTCCACCAAGCTCCCTGGCGTTCCACGCGACCGAGCTGCCAATGTGCCTGACCGGCGATGGGCAGCTGCACCGTGTTGAATGACTGGAACAGCTCGCTGAGGGCGGCGCCGAACCCCTTCTCCATGTCGAAGTGGACTCGGTCCGGCACGCCCGCCCAGGAGGCCCAGCACCTCTCGAACGCGGCGGCAAACTCCTGGCAGGTGTGGCGACCGATCAGCGTCGCAACGTGGGTGGAAGGTGGTAGCCAGGTCGACGATACTGAAGTACCAGTAGCTCTTGCCGTCGACGTCCTTGAGCTCGAAACAGTCGAAGCCGACGTCGTCTCCAAAATCTTGCACGAAGTGGAGGTGCGCTGGTCTCCTCGCGCTCGGGCGCTGCTGCGAGCGGCACACCCCGCAGATCAGCCCCTTGACGGCCTGGACGGTGGCCGACTTAGCGCCTTTGAGTCGCAAACTGCGTCCCAAGTCTTCCTTAGACGGATGGCCCAAGTTGACATGGAGTCTCTTGAGCATGGCCAGCTCGGCTGGCTTGCAGCAGGCTGCTGCTTTCTTTGTGAAGGACATCGCGCCGACCCCGGTCCTGCCGTCCACAGTATCTTCGGCCCGCACGTCGTGAGTGTCGGCGAAGTCGTCTCCGCCGCCCATGGGGTCTTGGGTCCCCATCAGGCTCGCCCGTTTCTCCCAGGGGCGCGTTGTCGTTCACGTTGGCGGTGGCCTGCTCCCTGGGCACTGTCACGATGAAGGGCGACGAGTGCGACTGGCAGTCCACCTGGTAGGCGCGCTGCCCACCTGGCTGGCGAATAACTTGCTCCACGATGCGCACCACCGCCCGGCAGAACTTAGCAGGATAAACGCCAGACTTGCGCACCGCCACGTTGTCCCCGAAGGTCTGGCCGTGGTGCTTGCGGCTGCAGGTGCGCTTCAGCTGCTCGAACTCCTTGTGGGTAACGAGCAGCTTCGTGGGGTGCTTGATGAGTCCCCCCGTCTTGTAGTGTCGAGCTCCGTACTCGCACATGTCGCACCTCACCTGGTACACGCGCTCGTCTGCCAGTAGCTCCAAAATCGCGCGCTGTGTCCAGTGGCCGGGTTTTCGATCATGGCCATGTCGCCAGAGTCGAGCTGGTACTTGAAGAGGTCGCGGGCCAATAAAAGGAACGGCCGCTCCGCCCTCCAGATCCGCCGGAGCGCCTGCTTGGCCTGCGGCGTCCGAAAGTTGAGGTGCGTGACGTTCGTGTAGTGGGTGCAGGGTAGCTCGATTGACACGAACTTCGGCCTCGAGGCGTAGTACAGGTCGTGCGTCGCGTCGAGGTCCTTCTGCGTGCGTAAGTCCCATCCGTACTTGCGGTCGATCACCTCTGTGGCCGTCATCTGGCGCTTCCACGCCGCCTTGGCGATGCCGCCTTCGCCTCCGAACACCTGCATGACGTCCACGCGGTGGCTGCGAACGCTGCAGGCCTCCTTGACGTTCTGGACGTGGTCGACCACGTCTCGCGCAGCACTGCTAGCATGTTGCACCACTGGCTTGAGAGGTCTAGCCAGCCAGTCCGCGGTGAGCACCGTCTGAAAGGCGAAGGCGCTCAGCAAGCCCGTGACCTGGTAGAGGAGGCCGACGCGCTTGCCCTTCTTGATGCCTGGCCGCCGCCTTGGGGCTGGCGACCCGTCCTGGCGGCCACCGCCGCCTTGTCTCGGCTCTGCTGAAGTTCCCTGGAGGCGCTCGGGTGATCCTCCCCGTCGGTCTCGCCCGCCTTTTCGAAGCCCATGTCGCTGGTGTCCATCTCGTGCGGCTCCGGAGGACGCTGGCGCCGATGCCCGGCCCAGCTCCCCTGGCTTGCTGAGGCCCTCGTGGTCGTCGCCGCTGGCGCCGCCCACTCGTCGTCTAGCACCACCTCCTCGGCCATCACTGCCTCCAAGGTGGTCTTGGCCTTCTCCGGGGGAAGGGGTTGCACTCCGTGCGCCTTGACCCACCTGGCGAGCCGCGCCAGGAGCGGGCTTGCCCGGTTGCTATTGAGCTCCAGGACCGCCCACTGCGCGTAGCCCAGGTCGTTCTTGAGCACCCAGCGGTAGTCCGCCGTGGGGTACTTGCCGAAGCGCATCTTGTCGGCCCCGGTGATCTGTTAGCTCGGATGAGCCACCGTTGCCGGGGCACTGCTGGCCGCGTCCTCGACCTTCCAGCCCTTGAGGCGCTGCCTGAGCTCCGGCACGGTCGTGCGCTGGTCGAACTCGATCTGGCGGTCCCGGCACAGCTGCTGGAGCTCCTCCTTGTTCTTCTTGCCAAGCCCTGGGATGTAGTCGCCCTGCGGCGTGCTCTCGCGGCCCTCGGCCCTCAGCGCACGCAAGATCACCCGGAGCTGGTCGCACGTGGCGTCGCGCACATCCAAGTCGTAGCTTGCCACCTCGGCCTGCAGCTCCGGCATCCGCATGCTGGATATCGCCGGGAGACGGGCAGTACTCGTCGTCGGCAAGTGCTGGTTGCTGCTCCCCGGGCTCGTCTCATTGGGAGATGTCGTACATCGCTGGTGCGGCGGGGGCATAAGCGCCGGCCGCTGGTTCGTAGAAAGCTGCGGTGGCTGGATCTGCCACGGCACGTGTCGTACTCGCTGGTGGAGCCACAGTTGAACTCGAGCCGGATGGCTGCGTTGATGATGTAGTTTGATGACTGCGTGCTGATGGCTGATCTCGCGGCTCGCCACGGCTTGCTTGCTGCTGAAATCGTACACGCCGTGACGGAGGATCGCTGCGAGGTTTAGCTCCTTGTTCGTCATGATCGTGGTTTGTCTGCATAATCTGTGCTGTGCTGACTGACCTAGTACACACTCCCCAGGCCTCGTCCTCCGATCCCGACGACGATTGACGCGATGGAATGTATGCGCTCATGGCCTGGCGCACCTGCTGCTCAAACAGTTCGGCGCTATCGAGCGCGTCGCAGTCAGTGTCCGACTGAGACTCGTCGGCCTCCGAGGCGACCCCTTGGTGGCGAGCCTCGGGCACCGCCGGCTTGGCGGCGCTGGCCACAGCTGTCTCAGCGCGGTAAGAAGCGCAAGGGTGGAGACGGATCTCGGCCATGGTATCCGAGACGTCCAAAACGGGTTTGTAGCTCGGCGCGAAGCCTGTGATGTCCAGCGTCGGGTGTCCGGCGCGGCTCAGGCCCATCTGGATGTCGTGCTCGTCGATCGACTTGATGTCCAGCTGATTGTCTCCGGCGTGGTAGACGGTGTCCAGCTCGCTCTGGGCCTTGCGGCTGAACAGTCCTGGCACGGCGCTGCGCACGATGCTCATGCGGACGGCGAAGGCCTTGCCGTTCACCGAACAGGGGATCAGCGCCGCCTTGAGGCTGAACACCACCTTCGACGCCCCGAACCGGAACGGCTCCTTCTCGGGGTACTCGATGGGCTGGATGTTGAAGGCGGCCAGCCTCTTCTTGATGTCGTTGCACCAGTCGAGGCCGCCGACGCACCGCGTGCAGGCCGTGTCGAAGGTCAGCTTGCCCCCCGACTCCTTCAGCAGGTCCTCGATGCTGAGGTAGACAAGCGCCGAGCTCGTCGCGGCCATCAGGCACTGGTGGTCCTTATTGATGAAGAACGCCGCTGCCGTAACTTCTTCGGGTAGCCCGGCGGCCTGGCGCATCTGCATTCCGTCGATGCTGTGCAGCGCGCCGCACTTCCTGTCGCGAGCTGCGGCCCGCTGGTCCTGCTGGTAGACCGCCGCGACCGCCATCTCCGCCACGCGAGGCTCCTGCGCGTCACTGGTCTCGTGCGTGGCGATGTTCGTCCTGTTGCTTCCCTTCTTCGGGATGTCGGCCTTGGCGTTAGGGTCGTTCTTCTTCGAGCACTGCGGGTCACCGCGCCAATGGCCCTTCTGACCACATGCGCCGCAGTGTGTCCTTGCCTTCATCTTGGCGATCTTGGGATCGTCTCTCTTCGGCGGGTTGCCGCCGTCGCGCTTGGCGAAGTAGCCGCGCGCCTGCTTCGCCTCCTTCAGCTTGTCCTTGGCGCGCACCATCTTCTTGGTGAAGAAGGCTACCTGCTCCTCCGCCTCGTCGATCGCGTCCTGCAGCTCGTCGGGCAGCTCGTCCTCGTAGTCGTCGGAGCTGTCTGAGGACGCGCCGTCGAACTCGGCCCTACGATCCTCCTCGTAGGTCTCCGTGGCGTACGCCCGCTTGTGGTCCTTGTTCTTGTGACCTCCGTAGCCTCCTTTGTCGTGGCTGTCCTTGTTGCCGTCCACGACCGATACCTTGGGCAAGTTGATCATCAACTGCTCCTGTATCTTGGTGGGGTTGAACTGGTTGCCCACACCGTTGAGCACGCTCGCCGCGCGCTCCGGGGGCAGGCGGGCCCCCTTGATGTACTTGACCGCCAAGACCTCGTCGGGCACCTGGATGCCCTTGGCCTTCAGCTTGGTGGCAATCCCGTTGAAGCGGTTGTTGTAGTCGCGGATCTCCTCGTACTTGCGCCGGACGCAGGCCGGGCGCACGAAGATCTCCAGCAGCGCTGGGGTCTCCAGCACCTCGATCTCGGGAAAGCGCTTCCCGAGGTACTCCAGGAACACCTCCACCGAGTCGTCGCCCTTGATGGCGTCCAGGTCAAGCTCCTCGCACGCCTCCTCGGCCTTGCCCTTCAGGCTGGCCAGCAAGGTCGCTCCCTGCTTGGGCGGCTTGACCTCGGTCCCGATCTGCCAGGTGGCGACCTCTCGGCGGTACTTCTTCATGGTCTTGCTCGTGCCATCGAAGACGGGTACGGGGATCTTGCCCCCGTTGCTCTTGTCCTCGCCGCTGGCTGCAGCGGCTCCTCCTGCCGTCGCCAT